AAAATTCGAAATTCTCTGGAGTGGTTCTTCAGTGAAAGTTTCGTTTCGTGGGTGGATCAGCCGAATCAGTCCCCGATCAGCTAGAAAGTTCCTGAAAGTCAGAAATGCACCAAAGCGAGATTGGTTAGGGTGAAAGAACGAAAGCTAAAATCTATGTTATCAATCCATCCCTTTGCGGAAGCGTCACGTATTCTTCTTCCAATCAGAATCGTAGTGGCTTTTGAGCGCGATGTGGCCTATGCAATGAATTAGCGTCCTCAGAAGGTAGAAGGCATGGATGGCTCCCGATGGGCTGGATGAGACTCGAGATCTGAACCCAGAACCGCGTGAGTGGTAAGCGCCATTTGTCACTGCAGCACCTCCGCCTCTAGTTTAGGATCATCACCCTATATATACGGGGGGGCAAAAAAAAGACACTTTTCTTCTTTGACTTTCGAGGCGATATAAGTTACTTTTATTTAAATCTGATCGGACATTTCTACCACCGTGATAAAGAGCATATTAAATACTATCATAATACTTCGCCATAGCCTTCCGGAGAAGCGGTTTAGGCGGAGTTAAATAAAAGAAGATGGAATATCTGGAGAAGACCCTTGGAATTAGATATTCCATCTTCTTCAGGTACTCAACGCCCTTCCATTCCAAGTAGGCGAGAGTTTTTCCAACGCCCTCGATTCCATGTGGTGGCACCCAATCCTGTAGCAGGTGGCACCCAATCCTGTAGCAGTACAAAGTTTCCAAGAAGGTACGGGCGACGACATGTGGGGAGGATATTCTTCTCGAGTTGCTCGATGTAACGCCAGCGCTCACCTTCAGTCCGGGGTCCACGAAGAAAATATTGGTCTTTCCATTCCAGGTACGTCCGGTCCATACCATCAACCCGCGCCTTGGCGACTGCGGTGAAGATGATGTCCTAGACCGTAGCGACGTTGTCGGAGCTGCTCGATGTTGGAGGTCATCCAGATCGAGAGTACTGGTCTCCAGGTAGCTATCCATGGGTGACTCCATACTAGAAGTTTCGCAGCTGTTTGGAGGTGACATGAATTCCAAGGTCTTCTCCAGTCAGGCTGCGACTGGAGATGACTTCATATTTTGGTGTACATGAAGTTGATGGCAAGAGCCAGCTCCTGCTTATCGAGGAACATCTTGGGTATCTTCCGCCCTGGTACTCGTATCCACGTCCTCTCTCTGGGCTGCGAAAACTTGCTGATATTGGACTCGGGAAGTGTCTTTTTTGGCTCCCCTTGTATAGTTCGCTTCGTCATCGCCGTATATTATGGTTCGCTTCTTGTTATAATTCTTGTTTGTTTGTGTGTTTGTCTTGTTTTGTTTGCCTTCACTCGTTTGTTTGTCTTTTTGTTTTGTTTGTCTGTCCGTCCGGAAATTCGGTCCGATCTGAAGAAAGACTTGGAGAGGTCGGGTCAAGGTGGTGTAGGTCATGGGACAAGAAATAAAGAACACACTTGACCAAAACGAAGTCCCGCCCACCGTGGGAGGGGCGCTCGCAGGAAGTTTGGGGTTCCGCAGAGAAATGTTCATAATTCACTTCCGGAGCAGCCCAAAGGTGGGAAAAAATGCAGTAAGGTGAGCAAGAAGTTGCCAGACTAACTGTGGGAGAGACATCCAAAATGGAAGGGGCACTCAAGGTGGGCGGTGCTTCTCACAAAACTCAGTAACCCGGTTCGCGAGAGTGTTTAGAAGTCGCAAAAACTCAGTGCAGAATCTAAATATCTGGCGAGTGTTGGGCACGCTCAAATTGTGTTGAGACTCACCCAAAGTGGGCGGAGCTTGCCTAAATCGCAGGATACTCATTTTGAAAGTTTGTAACTCGGTTCCAGAATACTCCAGAAACCGAAAAAAAGAGGA